TTCGACTTTACCTCTCCTGTATTAGCGCTTACCCCTACTCATGCTGGGACACTGTTCAAACAATGGCTGCTAGGAAGGCCACCGTTGACTTTTCCAGATGGTAATACACAGCTTTAGCAATCTCCCTTCTAATCTCTGATATGGCAATTGATATTCTCTCTGATGTCCTTTTTTTCTTAGTTAATATATACTTTTTCATAGAAGAGAGTACTTGAATTGATTCTGTAATTCTTAGACATGCCTCGTAAAAAGATCTTTTTCTGATTTATAATTCTGGCTAGATTTGGTACAACAACCAAATCTCATTATCTCTTCACGTAGCAACATTATTGCTGAATCATACGTAATGTTTTGCATCTTATTGAAAATAGGTATATTTTTCATACCCTGAAGGAATTTATTATAACGATCGCAGTGATTGTATCATACCAAAGTAAATATTATAATTGATATTGAAACCGTTGATTATTATCGATTGGTTATATGTACTCCTACTTATCAGAATATATTTACACAGCAGAGCGCTCTTATTTATATGAAAATTTCACTCACAAGGGAACCACCCCAACCCGATCTCACCGATTTGAATGATTTTGGGGCATATTGTAGTACTTGGAAAAAAATTAGAAACGTGTTTTTATTTATCGGCCCATAAGGGCTTTTAAGAGGTAAAATCCACCCTGAAAATTAACCCCTAAAATCAGTTTTTTTAATATTTCTCAGCATCAAATGGATATTTTTCAGTAAACTCAACGTTAAAAAATTTCTTATAAAAAGGCGCTTTTAAGGACATAACATTTATACCGAAGGGTTGCAACCTACTTTTTAATAGGGGTAAATATACTATTTTTTGTACTGTTTTACGTGTTTCTAAGGGGTGTTTCACCCCCTAGAAACCACCCCCGTCAAACTATCAGCAGGTTAATCCACCTAACCCTGGGATAAACAAGTTTAGTCGATTGTTATTTCTTGAAATAATTTAATCCTATGCATGAGCGAGCTACCTCAACTAACCAACCTGCTTTTAACCCACCAAACCCCCATAAACCACCCTTACCGAACCACACGCAGGCTAACCCATCTAATCCTGTGAAAAGCAACTTTAGTCGTTTGTTATTTCTTGAAATAATTGAATTTTACACCATAAGCGAGTTATCCCAGCTGTATAACATACCTCTTATCCATTTACCCCTAACCTATCTAACCCCCACCCTTATAAACCACCCTTACTGAAACACAAGCAGGCTAAACCTCCTAACCCTGGGAAACACGAGTTAAGTCGTTAGTTATTTCCTGAAATAATTTAATCCTACGCCTGAGCGAGCTACCTTAACTAACCAACCTGCCTTTAACCCACCAAACCCCCATAAACCACCCTTACCAACCAAATGTAGGCTAATAGACCTAACTTTGGGAGAATTGAGTTTATCAGTTGCTTTTTCTTAAAATAATTGATTTCTACACCGTACGTGGGGTATCCCATTTTTTTTTATAAAATATATCTGTAGCTCAAACATAATTTATGACAAATAAAAATATGTTTAATACATTTTATTTTAATAGTACCAAAATGGCGAGAAATGTCTAAACCATACCGTATTATAGCAACATTTTTACATGCTTCTACTTCGCAATGTATATTGCAAGAATCTCCAAAACTAAAATCAACAGGGTTATCTGTTTTAGCTGGTTTTTCAGCAATGTAACCGCTTTTATACCAAGCGTATTTAAAAATATTTGTATATCTTGGTGAAGAAAGCTGGTTATGGACAAGAGACTGCATTTTTATGATATTATTTCTTAAACGTAGATTAATTTCATAGTCCATCAGAATTACTTGATCTGATAAACGTCGAACGAAGTTTTTCCAGATACGAAATCCATAAACATCGAGTGGTTGGATGTTCCCTGTCGTTCCTGTGGAAATTCTTTTTTTATATTAACAATTTTGTTTGTTGGCATCGTTTCCCTTACAGCTTTATCGCAATGTCCACTCTAAGAGTCGAGTAAAAGTACAGATTAAGGTCCAATTTTAAAATGATCTAAAATAAAATAATGTCAAAATTTTTTTATGTCATTGCATTATAATAAACAAAAATATACTAACTTGTCGTTAATTTTCCAGATTTAGATGCTTCCACCTGCACATTTTCTGGTCTAAATAATGAAGATTCCACTATGGGACCGAATTGACCACTTTTTTCTTTTAATACTATAAAAAGTGGTGATAAAAGTTTCCCGGTTGCTGATATAGTTGACTGAATTGTATAACTGTGCGTTGTCGATGAAACCGACTGTACCAGACATTGCACCTGCTTTTCTCCTTCAACTGCTAATGTTCTTCCCGAGTGTATTTCTAATTGGAAACCACTCTGATTTGAATTATAAAAGTTTGCAATGCCGATTTCTGGTATACATGATTTAACATCAGCTACAAAAGCATCAGCATTGGTTTGTAGTTCTTCTTTATTTTCTAATATTTTTTTGGTGATAAATTTATTTATTTTTCTAGATACTATTCTATGAGCTTTTTTAAATTTTAGTAACCAATTTTGAGAAGCCTTAAATCTTATATTTTCATGGCCAACAATTTTTTGAGCTTGCAATGCCCATTTCCGTATATCTCGATCATGCACTATCGTACCAGCTGCAATAGCGGCTTTTAAATTATCAAACGTGTATTGGCAAATTCACGCAATTTTTTCTCGGTAAGTTCCATTTTTATTAATTATTTTCGCCGAACGCTTAAGTTGACTTATAGATGAAACTTTTTTGAATCTATGTTGTATAGTATCCAGTTTTAAGTTTTTGTTTTTTCCGCTCCTCCAAAATTCTACGGCTCTTTGTTTATAATCAAATGTGATTTCTTTATTATCATTTGTGCACTGATTTGTTGGTGCAAAATCAGGATCAGGAAAGTGATGTTGAACTTCATCTTCAATTATTTTAGATTCAGTATCTTTATAATCTTCATGAAAATCTAACGTCTCTTCAACAATCATATCAATATCATTAAACTCATACACGGCATCTATTAATATTTCTTTCAACTTTTCTGACAATTTAATTTCTTTGAAATTAATCTCGCTATCTGGTATTTGTAAACTTTGAAAATATGCTAATAATAAATTGACTACGTTCAAAGGATTGATCTTCATGTTTTAATCTAAAACAAAATTAAGATATAAATACTCTTTTTTGCATTTGAATAATTTTACAAAATACAAAAGAAAACCTAGTCTATAGATAGAATGCGATCATACATTTTTAACAGTTATATTTCACATGTTTACAAATCAAAATATTTGAATAAAATTATATATGATAAGTGACATAAATACTTACGTAGTAGACAAAAACTTTTCTTCTTGTTATATACTATACGAGGTCTGTCCGGAAAGTATCGGGCCTACCTTTATATTTTCGTGCTAGCGTTATTCATTATCATCTGGTGGGTGGCATCCTCCAAAGTAAACCCCACTTGATTAAATAATACGGTTCCATCGATGTTTCCACTTTTCTAAACAGTCCTGGAACTCACTTTTAGGGATAGCCTTAAGTACACTCGTCGCATTGTTTTCAACCGTTGTTTTATCATCGAATCGGTGTTCTTTGAGTGGTTTTTTTAGTTTTGGAAACAGCCAAAAGTCACAAGAGGCTATGTCGGGACTGTATGGAGGTTGTCGATGCAATGCGATATTGTGTTTGTTCAACAACTGCTGCACAAGATTGGATGAATGCGCTGGCGCATTATCGTGATGGAGAAGCCAGTCACCACTTTCCCAAAAGTGCGGCCGTTTTCTTCTTACTGCATCACGCAAACCTTTCAAAATTCGAACGTAGTATTCTTTATTGATTGTCTGACCTGTTGGTGCATATTCGTGATGTATGACACCTTCACAATCGAAAAAAACAATCAACATTGACTTAATGGTCTTGGCGATTCAGAATGCTTCCACTGTGAAGATTATTGTTTTGTTTCAGGATCATAACCATAAACCCATGATTCATCACCTGTAATAGCTTTTCTAAGCGCATTATCATCATTATTGACCATCTCCAGATTGTCGAGAGCGATTTCTAAGCGAATGTTCTTCTGCTCCATAACTCCACCCATAGTATGAAACGTGTTACGTCCATCAATAGTGGCAGTGTTATGGTCTGTATTGTCGAAGATGAATTGCAGAAAAAAATTTTTATTACGAAAGCTTGACACAAGTTTGGGAAAACTTTCAAGTTTTTTACGCGGGTTTGTATTAGTAGAATATTAATAGATGTAAATGGCCTCGATCTATCATTTAGTGCCGATTTACTCATAACAGTGACCTACATGACTAGACTGAGTCAAGCAGATCATAAATAAAATAACTTCACTCGGCTAGCCATTACTTTTTTATATAGGAAAAGTCTATGGTTCGAATCTTTTTCTCATCTGAATGAGCTTTGTGAATTTTGCATCTCACTTTTTAAGAAAAAAAATTAAAACGTAAGCGTCAAATAAATAACGTTCAATACATAGTGTTAAATAATAATAATGTTTATTCAAATTATATCATTTCATAAATTAATTTAATATCGTTTTCGTGTTATTTCAGAAAACTACTTTTATTTTTAATTAGTTTGCGTTGTTACATATTTCATTGCTCATAGTTTGCATTACCGATACTTTACTGTGTTAACAGATGGGAGGTCTTCTCGGCCCCTTCACCCCGCGAAAATATCATCGAATCTCCTTAAAGATACGTGTTTACTGTGGCAAGGTTCTTTGATGCGTTGACATTTATTTAAAGAACCTCAAAAAAATACGTTTTGTTAATGATGGACATGGGGTTTTATCTTTTGGTTACGGGAAAAGGTAATAATGTACAAATTAAAAGTAACAAACTTCAAAATCAATTATAAAAAATACTTAATGGTTATCGTAGAAAATAACATTTTTACATGTATAATTTTACTTAATACCACTAATTATTATTTGAAACCAGTAACTTTTGTAAAGCTTATGAAAATTCAGCGACACATGCTCCATTTATGCAGTGCTAAAATAAAGCAAACGATCATTACAATTACAATTAATTCTTATTTATAATTTGATTTAAAAAAAACGTGATAGCTCTTACCAAGCCTTTTCCACATGTAGAACCTTCAGCAGCGGGAGCTTTCCCAACACATTTCATGTTTATCATAGATTTTGTGCAGTGTAATTTCCAGCATACTGTTTCATTGAACTATCAAAATTAAAATTTTTGTAATTTACAAACTCAATTCAATTTGTCAACGTATAACATTAAATACTCACTATACATGGTTTTCCACCTCGCGCCAAACACTGTTCGTCTAAAGTTAAAAATTTACCTGGTAGAGGACGTATTACTGTACCCCCTATATTTTTAGGCCTGTTTTCTAGACAATTGGAAACTGTTAGGCTAAAAATAACTTACTTATTAAGATAATGCGTAAAAAGAATGTCATTTATAAGTATCCATGAAATTAACCTTGCAGATTCTTCCAATAGATTTTTGCTACATGGAGACCAACAAAGACTATTCACAGATCTGAATTTTGCACTTGCCATAATATAACCATCTTTCATAGAACAAGCGATTGCATCATCTTCACCATCATGAGGTAATCCCAATCTGTGAACAATCATTTATTTGCCTGAATGTTTTCCATGTATCGTCAACATTTTATTTTATTGATGAAGACAGTTATTTTGAAATAATTTGGGAGTTCAAATATAACTGTTATCATTTCAATTTTTACAATTTATGGCTTACAGATGCCCTATCTCATGAGTAGCTGTTATAATTCCGGCATAGCCTCCATTGTCTTCCAATATTGCTGTGTTTTTTCTTTTAGAGCATGCTTTTCCCGTAAAAGCTTTCCCTGATAAATTGAATAATGTTATGTTATAACATGTCTGGAAATCGAATATTAAAGGCATTATATATAACAATTCTATTAATACCTAATGCTGAAGATTTACAATAATTTGTAGTTTTTAAGCTACATATATCTCGCCTATTAAACAAATTATCAGTTGAGTGACATCATTCGATTGAGTTTAATTGACTATAATTAACGTAAATATAATCAAAGAATCAATACTTAGTCATAATCACAACCATATCTTTGGAAGTAATATATTTAGCCTCGGTATCAAAATATATTCCAGCATCTACTAGTGCTTTTTTGGCCTGTATTCGACCACTATCATCTAAATTATTGTGTATGAATTTTAATGCCATTTCATCCTGAAAGCAGAATATTATCACTAAACCATTTCGAATTTTTAAATGTTTGCACAGAACATTTTTTCAAAAATATTATTAAATATTTTGAATTGTAAATGTAAACATAATAATCAATGTTATTATATTTTTCGTATCAAAAGTTGATGATTACTTGTGCTAAGATTACGCCAGCAATATTAAGCTTTACTTCAGGCGATTTTAAGACGCTATACCGCAAATCTACACCATTCCAGAAAGGTACTAAATAATTCATTGCTAAGTGAGGGTCTTGACCAAGATGCCTATAAATATTTATATATATATATATATGTATATGTATATATATGTATACATTTTTTATTTTTAAAATGAAATTTTCTAGAATATAATATCTATGTTGTAGTTTAGACCTAATAATAAAGTAGCTCGAGGAACATAGTTACAAATTTCATATGAACTGAAATTAGTGTTGAACTTACTTATAAATAGATGCATCAAGCACAACTAAAATTTCTGGATAGAAGACCTTCAAGGGTTGTTGTCTTTTCCTCTTTTTTATATATTTTTGATAATACCTAATTGTATCATCCGACAGTTCGTATCGGAGAGTTGAGCTTTGACTTGATATTTTAAAAATAACATGATCTTCCACCCTCGTTTGATTACGTATTTTAGATATTTCATTGATCAAGCGTTGAGGAAGAGGACTTATAGCCAAATCTGTATCAATCATACCGTCCTATAGTAAAAAATACAGCAATATATATAAACTGCTTGAGCAGGTAACAATAATATTCATAGAAGCTTGTTATTGATTACTGCAAAGAATTTTTTCTAAATAATGTCGACATATTTTCAAATGAGAATCAATTATAACAATTTTACTGATTTTTATTTAAATATTTTAGATTGATTCAAATTCAACAAAACTATACAGTTAGTTTAAATTTATACGTATCTATTTATATTTGATTTCTTTATACTCACGTAAAATAGATCAGTATGTTCTTCTAATTTGTATTCCACTAATGAAACCATATTTTGTGAGTCCTGATAAATTCCATTGATATTATCCAAAACCTTTCATAGAATAATTTGAACTTTTTCATTAGAATATCATTATAACATAATATAAATAACATATACGTAACGTAAATATAATAAGAATAGCAATAAATCACAAATGAAACATATTCAATTTTATCAAAAAACGCACATTTAAAGATATAGTATAAAGATCATGCAGATTTTTAAATAAACAAATATACGAAAATAAAAGACTGATCTTTTTGTGATAAGTGCCTTTAGTGCCGCGAGCGTATGTGCTATTATTTTAGTGATCTACAGGTATTAACCATTCTACTTCCTTACATTAGGCAATGAAGTATACTGAACACGTGAAGAATTTTTCGAAGATGTTTTAATATGCCATATCGGTGTCTTTTTTCCAATTAAGATATTATCTCGCTGTTTCAACTCTATATCATAATGCCTACCAAAAGCCACAAAAGATAATACACGGTTCTGCGATGATAGTCGACGGTTGGTTTTTGTTGTAAGTAAGAGATTAATTTTTATGAATTCGTAGTTAGAAACTAAAATATTTTAAATGAAAATGTATTTATTTTTAAAGAAAAATATTTTTTTTTATACATAGTTAAATTATACCTTGATCACGTTCAGCTTTGAATACTCTAGAAAACTCTTCATCCGTCATCATACTGTAAATCTACAAAATGAATTTTCCCGAAAAGAATTTAATTAACTTATAGTTATATGTATGGCATAAAGCGCACATTCACATGTGCTCTACTTCAAATAGAATGTCGCACATCAAAGTTTCAACTCACGCACATCATATCATAAATTAGTTACGGTACATTTTTATAAAAACTAACGTACTTGCCCATTCGAATTCACATTTATGAAGAGCATTTCCATCAAAAACACTACCTTGAAGCTGATGCAAAATTTCATTTTATCAACCAATTACGGTATTATCTATATGTATGAAGTATATCCAGTACGATGGAACAATGTTAAACTCATGCATCTAAATTTTCAACGCTTGCAAACTTTGTCACCATTAAGCAGACGAGTACTCACAACCGGACAATTAATACGTCTATCATGCCGTGTTCTCATATCAAACTAACTTCTTTTTCAGACAAGACTCGCATAAATAGTCGTATGGGACTCATAAATAAACCAACAAACATACGGGCTACATGTAATCGTGCCGGCTCCAAATAGCTGCAATATTGTTGAAGAATTTCATGTAAGTGTGTCATTATATTGAATTGTTTTCACAACATAAGTGATTTATATTTAATTATATTTATATATAAATATATTACAAATTGAAAGCTTATAATAATTTGGGTGTGCGTGTATTCCAAATAAATTATAAAAAGCTATATTAGAATTTAGAATTAGTAGGTCATTCAGTCTTGTGAAATGCAGAAGTGGAAAAGAAAAGAAGTGAAATTTAGAGAGTGTTTGTAAGTAGGTGATTTATTAAACATAATGAAAGATTGAGCAAACAACCAAAATCATACCAATTATAATTTTTCATAAAAAAACGTTTCTTTTCAGCCTTTTGTCATAAAATTAACGTTTTTACTCGAAAATTATAATTAACATTGCACCGCTTATGACGACTACGATATCACATGAAGAATTATAATATATCATTATACAGCTTTCCATAATTAAATTTAGATGATGATGAAAATCGGGTATTATTTGACAATTATCAGTTAATTAATTTTCTTTAAGTTCTATTTTTTTTATTTCTTACTAACTATGTAATCAATATTTTATAATTCACACCACAAACCACAACTCAAAATCTATATGCATGAAATATACCACAGTGAAATTGAAACAACTTTAACCTACACAATAAGTAATATTTACAATGTATTACTTCATTTGGGAACATATGCTCTAAATTTTTTCATTGCATCTGTTTTAACTATCCTATTGAATATGTGACAGCGTTGCGCATATATGCAAAAATATGCGGGCAACACTGTACAGTGTGGAACATTGTACAATTAAAATTAACCGATTAAATAAATTTACCGATGCAACCCTCTTGATACATATCGCAGCTCCGCAATCGTCAGTAATTCTTAAAAGTTCCAGAAAATGCTGCCGTAACAAATCGGGGTGTTGTCATACGAGCAACATGGGCAAAATTGCAGGGAAGGACTGGTCTCTTCGGGAGAGGCTTCTTAAATTACTTCGATTAAATAAGTTCATTTAATTAGTTGATTTTTAAATAAGCCTCTTCCTCGAGATAAAAGTCTATTTGTTTACAGTTGAGTTGCGGTAGCCAACTATGTTCAATTGTAATAGTTGTATTAAAGTGATCAACATAATATAAACAATACAGTTAATAAAAATTAAATTAAAAATTAATATAAATTAAAAATAGCGTTTCCAAAAGCATCTTGTTTCTCAACAATAAGAATTTCATAAAAATTAACAAAAGGAATTGAACCTTATGTCCAACCATCAGTAGCGCGAATATAATTTCGCATTATTTTTAAAAATTTCGCGATATTTCTAAAATTACGAATTTTAGTAAATGTACTATTCGTCTAATAAAATTAAGTCTTCGAGCTCTCATTCCATTTGGCACCCAAAATATCGCGCGCGTATGTGTATGATCTAGTAATTTTAAAAAATCTTAGCCTTCATTGTAAAAATACTATATCGACTGTAAAAATACTAATTATAGTAAAATTGCGTTACCCCATTCAACGATGTTATATATTCAAATAGGCATGCGTCATATTGAAATATCAACATCAACCATGATTACTACCTAATGTTACATCGCTCTTTTTATCATCTACTTTTTCAGTAACTAGAACACCATAGCGCGTTCCGCGCACCCAATATACGTAAATGCAATATAATGTTGAAATACTTAACGGTATTATCATTATTGATACGTAAAGAAAGTAAAATAGTCTAATGTGCATAATTTACATAAATAATTTTATTGATATAATTCTATATAAACATAATTTTTAACAAACGAAGTTTGTCTTTAATTACCTAAATACATTTTTAATGAATTCCAAGAATGCACTCGAGACATAGCTATGTACAATTAACTGTGATTGAAAACATTTCTTCGAAGATCAATACCAATTTTGTCTAAAATTTGTTCTTAAGATTTATTAATAGTTATTGTAAAAGCCAAACGCATTGGAAACTGACGTCTTTTAAAAGTAAATGGATATATATTTTCACAATACGGAGTAATCCAATTAAGAAATACTATGTTATTGCGTTCGTCTCCTGTCAATATTTTTGATTTTAACAAATGATTAGAAAGATCAATTATTTGTAATCTTGTTCCATTACATAATCCATACATACATAATCCATTACATAATAATATTACATAATCCATTACATAAACATACCATCATGTTAATTTTCTGATTAACATGACCATGCAGAATTTTCTTATACGTAATTTATGAGAAAGAAAATTAGGTGGATTTAGTGAATTAAGATATTCTGGTAAATGGATATCTTGCATATTACCATTGTCATAATTTTCTGTATTTTCTTGTCATAATTTATGCTAGTACATGTGTTCAGTACTTTTATTTAATAAATTAGTAATTTTATTATTATCTACATCAGTATTTCTGGCTGATAGAATTGTACAGTGACTAATTTCAGAAAACTTTTTTTTTATTAATTTTTCAAAAATATTTTGTACAATGCATTAATTATGCAATATTATGGAAGCTGTAAATTATTGTCATGATCATTTATTTAATGATCTATTATCGAAATCCAATAAATATTTTGCAAATTCAAGTTCATATAGTAAGACTTTCTATTAGATTTTAAGTTAAATATCATAAAAATTAGACATAATTAAGAGTTTTTATAATAAACAAATTGAGAATTTCATTACATATTCCATTAACTTTAATTGGAAACAGTTGTCTGAAATCACCACTTAAAACCATTATTTTTACCACCAAGTGGTTGATCAGTCTTCAAATATTTTAATGTTCTATTTACGATTTCCAAAGCACATTTTAGGGCCATTGGTGCTTCATTCCAAATGAAAACTTTTGTATGTTTCAAAGTAATTAGATTGTATTTTTGTATTTGAAGATAAATTACTAAACATCAGAATTGGCAAACCATAAGTTTTATGCACTGTTTTTCCATTTGGTAGCAATGTAGCAACAATACCGGTATAGGCCTTTATTAAATATTTGATATTATCTGACATTATAAGATCGTAAATGACAGTATAAACGAAAGTTTTGGTTTTATTTACATTCTATTTTATAGATTTAGCGTACACACATTTCGCACGTCATAATGGCTTGTTTTGATTTGTGAAATTCGGAGGAATAGTCGATATAAAATAATTTTTTTTTTATTACTCCAAGTTTATTTACAATCTGTGTCACGTATTGAGACAATAAGAAAATGTTTATTAAACAGCAGTTTATTATACTCTTATTATACTAGCAGTTATTATATTAGCAGTTTCTTATTATATTAGCAGTTTATTATACTCTAGTGAGTATACTGTTTTTATTTTACAGTATGATTGAAATAATTCTGTTAATTTATTTGCGCATTCATTAGTTTATGTTCTTTAGTCTGGTGTTGATGATGGATGTCTTGAGAAGTTTGTTGACAAGCTTATTTGGATGGTTTTGAAGATTGAAATTATATTTTGCGTAGCATTTTTTAATTTCTTCTTTAACTTCTTTAACCGTTCTTTTACTTCTAATCTATTAATCATTTCAGATAATTTCATTAGGTTCGAATCATGGAGCCCGTATTATATTGCGTAGAACTTTCGATTGAAATCTTTTCAGGATTTAGATATTCAAGTTAGAAGCAGCATCCCATAGTTGATCCCACAGCATGCCATATGTCCAGAGTACAGCTTTATATAACAACAGTTTGTTTTCAATTGACAGCTCCGATTTTGTTCCGATGAACCAGTACATTTTTCTCCATTTGAGACCCAACTGTTTACGTTTAGTAAATATATGTTCTTTCCATGTAAGTCTTCAGTCTAGATGAATACCTAGATATTTTACTTGATTGCTTTGCGGAATATATTTATTGTTTAATCTAATAGGAGGGACAGGTCTCTTTTCGAAGTGTTGTATGTATTGATTTGCTTTCATTTACTATTATTCTTCAGGAGTTAAACCAATTTTGAAGGTGATTTTTTAACTAGTTTTGTAATGTTTTGGTAGCTATTTTTGCTTCTAAGTGTACTGTTAAAATTGCTGTATTATCTGCATATGTTACTGTCAAGATATTAATAGACTTTGATAGGTCCGAGGTATATAACAGATATAGTGTTCGACCTAGAACACTGCTTATATTAACAGATGTTTTGATATGTTTTTATTTAGTTTAACTTAATAGTCTCTATTGCTTAGATAAGACTGGAACAATTCGTAGTGAGACCGAGGAAAAAATCTCTTAAGATTGTGCAGTAGCCCTTTATGCCAAACCTTGTTTAAAATTTGAGTTGAAAAATATCTCTTCATTCCTCTACAAACTTAAATCCTTTCCACATACCACCCACCATACTACAGTGCTATTTTAACCAGTCTCAAAACAAAAAGAAAATATACAAAAATATAAAAACTAATGTCAATCAATAATAATAAATTCAAATTACTATCGACACCGCACGACACCTGGCGATGGTACGGTAAAGCTCTTGCTTTGCACACCAACTAATAAGGAAAAGAAGCAGTCCGACTCTATATATCATTATTTGGCGACGAAAGCAACGGGGCAATTCTGTGGGCGCTGTATTTGATTTTATTTTTACAGTCTAGTGAAAAGTAATTATCATTGAACTGAAGACTGTTCAGACAATCAATAAATGACTATTTTGCCTATCGAGTAATTTTATAAATAATTTGTAAGCACATGACGCACCATTGCTTGGCGCAAATCAAACACGTCCAAGTTACTCGTGAAAACAACTTATGACAAAAATATATGCATTCTTCTCTTTCTGCCCCTCCAACGCAGAATCACCTCGTTGCCACTACCGAATTTCGTATCTGAATACGACCTTAACATTACTTAACATGGCGACGGCATAGGTAGCAATAGACCATCAGTATACAAGCACAAGATGCAAATAAAATTTTCTGTAACGAAAAAAACTCGCAAGGGTTGAACAAGGAACGGGGTTGTCGACGATGGGCAGCCACTTGATGAACCGAGCAACGCAATTGTTCTCTGATGTCGATTAGATTAACTATAGATTAGATTTTCTCCCGTCTACGACTCAGGAAAGAACGCGCGTGCGCATGCAAGTCCGAGTAGAGAAAGAAGAGCTGGAGAGAGAGAAAGAGAGAGAGAGGTAACAGCGGCACTCGGCAGCAACAACGAAATCGATCGAGGAAGTTGCCGTCACGCCGGTCGTTTATAGTCACGCGCAGTCCTGGTGCCGCTAAAGCAGCAAGCATAAAGATAACGTGGATTGCAAAGCCAAAGAAATAGTAACGAATAAAGGAAAGAGAACGATCAAGGGGAATAGATACAGCCAACGCGCGTTCGAAATAGAGGGTTAACGCGGGAACGGTGCCTCTCTCCACAAGTTGCACGTCACCATGAAGCTCGTCGACAACGTGGTACGGAGCTTCAAGGTGGCCAAAATCTTCCGCGAGAACACTGACCGCATCAACAGCATTGACTTCTCCACTACCGGCGACACGCTGATATCATGCTCCGAAGACGATCAGATCGTTATCTACGATTGCGAGAAGGGCACACAGATACGCACTGTCAATTCAAAGAAGTATGGCGTCGATCTCATTCACTTCACCCACGCCAAGAACACTGCCATCCACAGCAGCACCAAAGTCGACGACACCATTCGCTACCTGAGTCTGCACGACAATAAGTACATCAGATACTTTCCCGGCCACACCAAGAAGGTCGTTTCGCTTTGCATCAGTCCCATCGAAGACACTTTCCTCTCGGGCTCCATTGACAAGTCGCTCAGACTTTGGGATCTGCGATCACCTAATTGCCACGGGGTCATGAACGTTGCCGGCCGACCGGTCGCCGCCTACGACCCGGAGGGCTTGATTTTCGCGGCCGGCGTCAATTCCGAGTCCATTAAGCTGTACGACCTGAGGAGCTTTGACAAGGGTCCATTCACCAACTTCAAGCTCCAGCATGAGAAAGAATGCGACTGGACAGGGTTAAAATTCAGTCGGGACGGCAAAACTATTTTGATTTCCACCAATGGCAGCATCATCAGACTTATAGATGCCTTTCATGGCACTCCATTGCAAACATTCACAGGTTATCTGAACAATAAAGGTATCCCTATAGAGGCTAGCTTTAGTCCAGACTCCCAATTTGTGTTCAGTGGCTCTACTGATGGAAGGATACATGTGTGGAATGCAGACACTGGTTACAAAGTTTGCGTTCTCAATGGAGATCATCCTGCACCTGTACAGTGTGTACAGTTTAATCCTAAGTACATGATGTTGGCGTCTGCTTGTACAAATATGGCCTTTTGGCTACCAACAGTAGATGACATGTCTTAAGGATATACTGCAATGCCTTGTCTCTGCCAATTGCAAGTTACAAAAATCAAAGTGTCACAGTGGTCAGCATCTGAGCTGGTTCCTGCAAAACAAGTTACTGTAAATTGTTGTAACGAGAATTCAACATTGCACTCTGTAAAAATGGAACACTCTTCTATAAATTTATATTGATGTATAAACTACTAGTGACAATGGACACTACTAAGATTCATAGCATTGTTGTGCCACGAGATTATATTTATAAGTGGCTTGATTTTTTACATTAGCCAACTTGAAATGTTGACTAAATACTAAAGTATTTAAATATGTCGTCCACATGCGGTTATTTCTTGAAAACTATGTTTCATGAACGTTATGTCATTTTATAGTCATATTTCTAAATGTTCACAGGCTTATTGTCTTAGTTATAACAGCTTATAATACCAAGTTCTCAGCATTTCATAACATAGCTTCTAATACATATTTAAAATTTATTTTCTATATACACCTCAAGTTTTAAGTTAATTAGTAAAGAGTTTGTACTCTAGATGTCACAGCAGGGAAATTTAATATATTTTTTTCAAAATTATTATGCGTAGAACTATTGTTTGTATACTGATAATGAAGCATTATCAAAGTTGACTGTAACTTAAGCACAAAAGTGATTTTAAGGAAATTAAAATTTAATTTAGTCACATATTTATTTACTTTTGTAATGTTTTCTAAATATTTAATATTTTTTAATTATTTAGACAATGAAGCCTTGTATGCCTGACTTCTATTGAAAAAATATTAAACCGTAAAAAATCTTCCTTATGCTTACTGAATGTGGTATGAAAATTCATAAAAAACGTTCAAAATATTATTAAGAAAATAGGCAGACAATTTTGTGTAGCTATTAAAGCAACAAAAAATTCTTGTAAAATTCCAGTATAGTTATATTTTGAACTAAACTGTAAAGTTATCTCTTTTTCTTGACGACATTTGTGATGAATGTATTAATTTTCTCCTAATGTAATTTCATTGTGTGTGATAAGTGTATGAATGATATTTGTAAAATAGTATTTTTTATAATGAAATAAAGAAAACTGAGATGTATAATGGTAATTATCTATAAATAGTGGTTGATAAACATTATTAATATAACTCAGGGCTAAAAGAAAGTACCAGATAAAAACTATTAATATAAATACATTTGTACCCAACATTTTTTATGAGAAATTTAAAAATAATGAGAGATTTCAACTAACTCTGCACAGATTACTTTTATTTTACTGCCAATAATTAATATCATTATCATATGAGAAGTAAATAAATATCCACTTCTAAAATTTTCTTAAGGAGTATTACAATAAATAAATTACATGTGTAATTTACTAGAATATTCAAGAGTAAATCAAACTTGAAAAGCTTCCAAATGAATAATTCATAATGCACTAAATATAGCAGTTCAAAATGAAATTTATAATAATTTTCAAATGAACCAATTGTTATTACATTGTAACTTTATTTCTTATGAAATCGTAAATAAAATATTTCTTTTGTACACTAAAAGTTTTTGTTTATTACTGTTTACATAGTATTAAACTTCATCAAAAACAATGTTATTATAACTTTTTTGTTTATTGTTCTATTAAATACAACAATGGTTTATGTACAAAATTTCATTGATTGTCAATAACTTGAATGTGATATAATTTTTTATCTTCTTCAGAAATTGATGTTGGAGCATCAGACATTAAATCGCGTCCTTCCATAGTTTTTGGAAAAGCTATGACTTCTCGAATACTAGATGCTTTGCATATTAAAGAAATATACCTATCTAAACCTGAATAAATGAAACTAGTCAGTAAAACTATATTTAACTAATCTGTTAAATTTAACATTTATTTTACCTATAGCAATTCCACCATGTGGAGGTGCCCCACTGTCTAAAGCATCGAGTAAATAATACATCTTCGATGAATCAATATTCAACATTTCTAATATTTGTTCTTGCAATTTTCTTTGATGAATACGAATAGATCCCCCGCCGATTTCCGATCCATTCATAACTAGATCATACTGTAAGCCTCGAACCTGCACATTTCATAAATTATTATTTTAAATTATTCAATTTATTATTATTATTACTTGAACTTATGGATACCTTTGTTGGATCTGTATTCAAATATTTCATATCCTGAGGATGAGGCTGAGTAAATGGATGGTGAGTAGCTTCCAAAATGTTTTTCTCATTGTTAAATGTAAATAAGGGAAAATCAAGTATCCAAACAAACTTATACTCGGATGATCTAATCTTTTCATTTTCATTTCTAGATTCTATGATGTTAACAAATTCAATTCTTATTCTTCCAAGGAGTTGCCTCTAAATAAAAGAAAAATTTTATATTGAAAATTTCTTATTACAAAATATTTTCACAAATAAACTCACAGCATCTAATTTAGGTCCATAAGTTAATAATAAAATGTCATCTTTTGCTAAACTAAGGTTTTCAACAATACTTCTTCGTGAATCCTCTGAAAATAACCCTTGTAACTCATTCATGTTCAAATTATTTACTTTCAATTGAATGAACTTGGCTCTTTGAAACATTTGCTTTGATAATTGATTTAGCTTTTTTTTAGTAGAGTTGGTAAAATGTTGCTACAATAAAATAGAACGTACATTGTAAACAGACAATAATATAGTAATTACGAATAAACTAAATTTCAGTCAATTACTTGTTTTCCACTGAATACTGTTGCATAAATACTATAAGCTTGATTAAAATTGGTGTCTATACTTTTAATGATTGAAGATATGTTGTGAATCTATAACATTTTTTAACATGATATATTACACCAGTTTGGTGCTTACATGGGTACCTCAATGTAATAGGTTTACTTGTCCAGGTATCCTAAGATCAGGGCAGTCTGTGCCATACTTTTCCATTGCCTCTTCATATGTTAAATAGTCAAAAGGTGTTTTGATTTTTCCTAAAAATTCAGGCCAACTGTTTAAGATTACATTTTCTGTCATTTCCATTATACTCTTGCGATCAATAAAAGACATTTCTATGTCCAACTGCAAATAGTAAAATTTTATGTGTGTGTGTGTGCGCGCGCGCGCGCGCGCGTGTGTGTGTATGTGTGTGTGTGTAAAAACTTACTTGAGTGAATTCTGGTTGTCTATCATGTCTTGAACCTTCATCTCTATAGCATTGGGCTATTTGGAAATATTTATCCAAACCTCCAACCATTAATAGTTGCTTAAACTGTTGAGGGCTTTGAACCAGAGAATAAAACTTTCCTGCATGTTTTGTTGGAACAATAAATTCTTGTGCACCCTGAAAATATAAGCACAGAGTGAATGTAATGTTATATTTACAGTACATGTTATTATATAGCTTAGGAAAATCTATTACTCCAGAAGTTTTACAAAATAGTGTGGGAGTAGCAATGTCACAAAAGCCACATTGGTATATTAAATATTCTCTCATTTTCATAGTGACCCAAGACCTTATCCTTAAATTTCTTTGCAATTCAGGAAATCGTAGAGCTAAATATCTATACTGCATTTGAAGTGATTCTTTAGCTTTATGGAAACTTCTTATGGAAAAAGGCAATTGAGGCATAGATGAATTGAGAACTTCTAATGATTCTATTTGAACTTCAATATCTCCTGTATTCATTTTTTTATTACATTGAAACTCAGGTCTAGGCAAAACCACTCCTTTTACTTTCAATACTGCTTCATATGGTAACTTTTGTATTTTATTAGATACATCATTTTTCTGGAAAAAAACCAATAAAAAATATTATACATATTGACATTAATTGCTCTTATAAATAAAACTAAGATATACTTCATCTTGAATAATACATTGGGTGGAACCATATGCATCTCTCAATATAAAAAATTTTCCAAGTCGCTGAAATTCCAACCATCCACAAAGCTCTACATTTTCATGTACATTGTTAATATTCAACTCTCCACAAGTATGAGTTCTATTTACAAATTTATTGGTTGACGTTGAATCTTTTTTCAAATCATCTACCAAACTTATAGAGGATACTTGATGATTATATTGTCTTATGAATGGTTTGTAGACATTTATTGAAAACTAGAATGTAAAAAAAATTTACATTACAAACAAGTGATCACATAAAACAAGGCAAATCACTTAAAAATCGGAGACTGTTATAAAAACTATTGATAATTAAATGCTTACTCTTTGCAACTTCCTATTAATTTTATAACATGTAAAATAACCTTGCTGAACGAAAAATTGCATCATTTTATGAGTTTGTCTCATGTTCATAGTAGTTAAATTATTATTTTGCAGATTTTATGTATATGGTTTTCCGAAGATAAATTAAAAACGACTAGTTATAATATTTAGTTAATTATAATTATTTAGTTATAGATACAAAATCAGTAAAATTTAACAGATTAAATCATTTTTATATATTTGTAAAATGAGTATGTAGGTTACTGGTCGAGTTCAGTTCCGCTTTCGCTCATTCTCCATTCTTAAATCTCAACTTGACTACTACTCAGGGTCTGTCTCCATAGGGCCTGCCTGAGTCCGTCCGAGCCGGCCGAGATTTTTTATGGGCACGCCATCTCTATAATTTCGTATCCAATGGCGAGTTTCATAGTGAATGGCTGCGTTTACATAAACGAGCCCGATCGGACGCAGCCAATACGAGAAACGCATGAACACGAAATTATAGAGATGGCGTGCCCATAAAAAATCTCGGCCGGCTCGGACGGACTCAGGCAGGCCCTATGGAGACAGACCCTCAGCTGCTACTCAGTCTTAATATATCTCCGATTTCCGACTCACAGATCTCAGAGTTTTAGCTTTTAGAGTAATTCGGTAATTCAATGCAAACTACAGTGTTTACATTTAATACTCTGAAAAGTGACATTTATATTCTAAAAATCGCAAAAGTCGTAATCTTCTTTTAAAAAATGGTAAGGAAAATGGATGGATAGAATTTTACAAAATTGATAGTATTTAAAAATATTTTTAATTCCAGTTACCTTTATCCTTATTACGTACAGCACAAAATCATCCGATGGTGAGATTCTAACCTTTATTACAATTGTTTTTACTCGTATAATTTTTCTAACTATTCATTAAAATTATTTTTTATTGATTCAGCTGGTTGAATTAAAAAATGGCGAAACTTATAATGGCCATTTAGTCAGCTGTGATAATTGGATGAATATTAATTTAAGAGAAGTTATATGTACTTCCAGGGTAAGTAAAAAAAAATATCTGTTTAAATATAAATATAACATGGAACTAAAACAATTTATTTCAGAATTAAAGAAGAATTTAGTATAATGAAAAATTTAATAACTGCCATGCTTTAAATGCTTACAAAATTAATTCTATTTGTCATAGAATATGAATTATCATTATACAAATATAAGTATAGATGTGTACATTTGTTCATTTAGGATGGTGATAAATTTTGGAGAATGCCAGAATGCTATATTCGAGGAAGCACTATCAAATATCTTAGAATCCCTGATGAAGTTATTGATATGGTTAAGGAAGATGTCCAAATGAAATCCAGAGGCAGAGGCGAAATGAAAGGCAGGGGAGGACAAAATCAAAGAGGAGGTAGAGGTAGTGGACGAGGTATGTATTATTACCAAAATGCATAGTCATTGGGACAAAAACTTTAAAAACATTTCAGTATCAAACAATAATATAAATTCAATTTTAGGAACATTTGGCGGGAGAGGAGGAAGGGGACCTATACCTATTGGTAGAGGTGGTAGCAGTCAAGGAAACAAAAACAAAAAACTAAATTAGTTTATTTATATTAGTTTCACTACATAATATTGATAAGTAAATATACAATGTTTTTGTATGACAGTTGCAAAATTATAAAATTGTTTCTTAGAATTTTGAGTCTTTACATTAATCTAGAAATACATGGCTTTTGAATACTTTTTATTGAATATTACACTCAACAAAAATAACATACCATAATTTATAAATATTTATGTATTGACCATTCAATTATTAAAGATTGCACATATCGAAATGGAAATTAAGAATGTCAATTAATATAAAAGACTTAATATAAAAAGTATCTTGTGGATATAAAAAATAATAATAATTAGTATAAATAATAATTGTAATTTTATGAAAGAGATGTATTACGTCAACTATGTATACTCATAAATTTTTTATTCTCATTTTTCATATATAATTTTGTTGATCTTAAAAATCTACTTAGGTAAATGTTAGCTCTTTTATTTAATAGAAAATGTTTTCATAAATTTCAGTTAAATTGAAACGCTTGAAAATTACATGTGGAGTTTCCGAGTTACTTTTTATATTTATTTGTGTTTATACTATAAAAAGATATAACTATACTTGATATAACGTAAGTAACTAATAAACAGTTATAAGTATAAATTTAACTGAAATTTAATGTATCAAAAGTAATGTTATATTATATTTGAAAATGATTGACGTAGTGTTGAAAACCGGAAATTATCAATTGACGGTAACTAAGTTCTTTACACACCCGCGCATGCGTGACACGATGCACGCCAAGGGTGGCGTGGGAATCTTTCGAAGCCGGCATTCCTGTTTTTATACCGACTTAGCGCACTGCACGCCACATACAGATTGATTTGCTAAGGTAAGATACATTTAGTAATCTATTTATTTTATTCGTAATCAGTGTCATCGGATTTCTTGAATGAGTTTACTCTTTTTCTTTCAAATTTCGCCGAATGGTGACTGTTTTATTTTTGTATGCACTCGAATCGTAATAGAATAGTTCGTACTTCGATCAAAATCTCTTGTGTCTATGCATATGCATGTGCAGACACCGTGTTTAGTAGTAAAAATATACTGTTATATTATTTCATTAGTTTGTCATATATTTACATTTTTATTTCAGTAGATTTTTACAAACTTTCATATGCATTTCATAAAATATACTAGTATCTTATAATTTTTTATGCCGATTTTCTCATGCTGCTTATGTGTTAGCCATTTTGTTTCATAACTACCCAAGATCTGGATACACGAATTAATACGTTCAAATAAGTTTTTCTATTCTGTTAATTTGATTTTTTTAAAATGAAAATGGATTCTAGCATCAAATCTCCGAAAAATGGCAGATAACGATGACCTTCTAGATTATGAAGATGAAGAACAAACTGAACAAGTAATTGAAACAAATGGAGAAGTTGCTCCAGCAAAAAAAGAAGTTAAAGGAACATACGTTTCTATTCATAGTAGTGGTTTTAGAGATTTTCTGTTAAAGCCAGAAATCCTTCGTGCAATTGTTGACTGTGGATTCGAACATCCGTCAGAAGGTAACAATTTTTTTAGATTACAAAAAATGTAATATTTAAATTAAATAATTCTAAACTACATGATGAAACTGACAGATAGGGACAACTGATTAATAATGATTGTTTACATCTGCACTGATATAAAATAAATTGAAATTTTTTATTATAAAGTTCTAAAAGAATCACAATAAAAATATTTTTCTTTTATAGTTCAACATGAATGTATTCCACAAGCTGTTCTTGGTATGGATATACTTTGTCAAGCCAAATCTGGAATGGGAAAAACAGCAGTATTTGTATTAGCTACTTTACAACAGATAGAATTGACTGAAAATCAAGTTTATGTCCTAGTAATGTGCCATACTAGAGAATTAGCCTTTCAAATAAGCAAAGAATATGAAAGATTTAGTAAATACATGCCTCAAGTCAAGGTAAATTAACTTATCAATTATTATGATTCGATAAGAATTTGAATTTTATTTAATAAATTGAATTAATTAAATTGAAATGGTGTTTCATGTATCTTAGCCAAAGATAAATAGTCAATCTATTACTGAGAATTAATAATTTTAATTAAATTTCTGATTGTATCTTTTGCATTTTATTTATATACATTTATTTAACATTGAAGGTAGCAGTATTTTTTGGAGGTCTACCAATACAAAAAGATGAAGAAGTTTTGAAAACAATGTGCCCACATATAGTTGTTGGAACACCTGGACGTATTTTAGCTTTAATTAAAAGTAAAAAACTAAATTTAAAGCATTTGAAACATTTTGTTCTTGATGAATGTGACAAAATGTTAGAACAATTAGGTAAAATATTGTTTTTCTTTAAACTTGTCTTGTATACAAATTACATATAATTATAATATTTAATTAAACACCTATTGTAGATATGCGCAAAGATGTTCAAGAAATTTTCCGAAGTACGCCTCATGGGAAACAAGTTATGATGTTCAGTGCTACATTGTCAAAAGAGATTCGTCCAGTCTGTAAAAAATTTATGCAAGATGTAAGATAATATAATATTCATATTTTAATTTTTAATTATATCTGCTTGATATGTTGAACATCACATTACTCAATATGGATTATACACATTTTCATATTTAATTCTATCTTCGAATTGCTATTTTATGTTAATGACTACAGCAATTGATTTTCTTACTCTACAAGATCTTAAAAAGAGATAATTCTCGTCATTTTTTAATATTTTTGTTTCAGCTATTGTCTAAATTTGATTTAAATAATACATTCAATTATGATCTTTATTGTTGCAAAACAAATGAATTCAATATGTATCTATTTACACTAAGGCATTTCATGTAACTACTTGATTCTTTTCAATAATGTGATATTTTACGTATCATAATCTAAATATTTCTAATTATAAATCTCTTTTCTAGAGAAATAATATACTTTTTATCTTTTCAGCCTATGGAAGTTTATGTAGATGATGAAGCTAAACTCACTCTTCATGGTTTACAACAACATTACGTAAAACTAAAAGAAAATGAAAAAAATAAGAAGCTTTTTGAACTTTTGGATGTTCTTGAGTTTAATCAAGTACGTTATCAATGAAGTTTAAAAAATAACGTGAATTAATTTTTTAATTGAAATTTTATTTATTAATTTTCTTATTTAATGTCCATTTTTTAGGTAGTTATATTTGTGAAATCAGTACAGAGATGTACAGCTTTAGCTCAACTTTTAACTGAACAAAATTTCCCTGCAATTGGAATTCATAGGGGTATGACTCAGGAAGAACGATTAACGAAATACCAATCATTTAAAGACTTTCAACAGGTAATTTATGACAAATATTTCCACCTTTTTATTGTGAATTTAACAAATCAATACTATGAAGAAATTATATTGTTTTTTGATCACATCATGATTCTTGAACTCTCTTACTGAGTGTTGAGAATATGTGAAGAAATAATATTTATGATCGTTTTCGATATTAATAAATTTTAATTTATTCCGCATAGCGCATTCTGGTGGCTACAAATCTTTTTGGTCGCGGTATGGATATAGAACGAGTAAATATTGTATTCAATTACGATATGCCTGAAAGTTCTGATACTTATCTCCATAGAGTAGCTCGCGCAGGACGATTTGGCACCAAAGTAACTATATTTTATTACTTTTTAAAGATTGATAAATGTTGAGTGCGTTTTAAAAATTATAATGTTTGTCGTGTTTTTTAGGGATTGGCTATTACTTTCGTTAGTGACGAAAGTGACGCAAAAATCTTAAATGATGTACAAGAAAGATTTGATGTGAACATTACAGAATTACCAGAAGAGATAGACTTAGCTTCATACAGTAAGTTAAAAGTTTTCCAATATCCAATTTGCTACGCCAAATTATTCATTGCATTAATTTATTTTTTACAGTTGAAGGACGATAAGGATTTGCTGAAACTTCAAATTTCCTCATCTAATTTTCTAAAACATAAACTCGACTTCTCTAGTTATTCAAAGTATCAATTGTGAACTTGCAGTTTCATTATAATTTTTGTATTCGTACAAAAAATTACATTTCATTGTAAATTCATTGACATACTTTTGTAATTGTGATCCATTATCAGTTGTAAGATTAATTTCTGTAAATTTAACAGATTTTAACTTAAACATATTATCTAATTTCCTAAAATACAAAACTGACTTATCTACCTATTCAAATGTGAACTTACAGATTCACTATGGTTTTTGTATTTGTACAAAAAAATGCATTTTTTGTAGATTCATTAATATATGCTTTTGTAATCGTGATCCACTATCAATTGTAAAATTTTTTTTCTCATTTTCTTTTAAGGATCGCTTTTATAATGATCAAAATTTGTAAATATTGATTTTTTTTAAATTAAAGTACAAATGAATGTAAGATATGACTTTCAAATTTAGACAGTAACGTTTGCCATTCAGCTTTTTATTCAAATTGCTACAATTTACATTACTTATAAATAGAATTATTTTATATTTATAATGGAATCGTTGTCAAAGCTCTCTAAGTAAAATTATAATATAATTATGAAACTGACTACTTCTTTTATTGAAATAAAAGGATTTTTGTATTCAATTTTTTTTAATAAAAGCTTGACCATTCATTCGCTTATTTTTTTATTGAATCTATGGAAAATATACTTAAACGAAAAACAAGAGTAATAGCTGTTGAAATAATTATTTTTAATTGATATTTTATATTTGTAAAATTCGTCATGATTCTTAATTACTATTTACTGATAACTTTAAATTTGCATATTGATTTTATTTATATCTTATTTTTCGTGCAACGATAATGAATATCATTATCGTTACACGATCTAAACTGTTTATGATAGTTAATTACAGTAATAACAATAAAAAGTTAATTACAATTCGTCAAGTTGACGTTGCTAAGTAATTTTCTATAAAGATTTTGATAAAAACGAACACGGTTATTGCCATCATTAACATTTCAAAATATTCTTGTGAAGTAAATTGTCGTTGATTTATCAATTTATTAATAATTAATGAAAAATAATATACATTCAAATTAAAAATATAAAACAGTTCTTTTTCGAATGTGAATTGAATTTTGAAACGTTTCGTCAAATGCAACGGTAATTTCGACAATATATAAGTGGACAAATCGTATATTACGTATAAAATTACATTTTCCATTTTACATTTTCCAAAAATATTTATTAAAAACGCAATAGGTGTATATAAAATTAGTTGAAATGACTCATAAAACGCAAGTGAATATTCGAATTCCAAATATTGAAAGCCTCTATTGTATAAATTGTAAAATAAACGAAGTAGATATACAGGATCCTATAGTGAAATCTCTGTTTCATTCACAAATTTTAACGTGCAGGTAAACTTCGAAGAATTATTAAAATGTTATAATTTGGATTATAATGTACAAGTATCAATTATAGCTTTTGAATTGGGAATTCCAGATTGATAATTTATACAATGCGATGCTGCATTGCTTCACCATCAATACAGAATGTAGATGATTTAATTCATATTGTCGTTAATAAATCTTTTTACGATTCAGGAAAATTTCAAGAGCATTTATCAAAATTGCAAATTTATGTAAGTAATTTAGAAAAGTATGTTATAAGTGTGTGAATACATTGCATTTTCATTTTTAACAATACTTAAGGTATTATTTATTCTTTTAACTAATTTTGCTAAATATAAACTTGAACAAATTAATGTTAAATTTTATTTGATCATATTATCCTAACTATTTAAAAAATCAGCTTTTATTTAATAATAAAATACAAATTTTATAACAAACATTATTTCTTATATAAGTATTTATATTTATTTATTTTTGTTTTTAGTACACTGATCCTGAACCAGTACATCCAAAAATTTATGAAGCTTGTTTAAAATATACATTCACATTTAGATTAGCACCCCACTGGAATTCTATTGGCAAGTCTTATTATCTACAAGGTTTTAATTTTTTATCTCTTACATCCAACATCAATGCTATTGAATGGAATATTTTAATAAAAAATAGTAAGTATTATAGAATTATTGGAATATTTTTAAGAATTGCTTATAATAATAAAAAAGTAACTAGAATTACACAGCTTGTGAATAATATTGGTAACAGATGGAATGAAAAGTTTTATTACAATATTTTTTTGTTTTATAGGCAATGATATAAAACTTGAATTGATTCCAATAAAAATGAACTTATTCCCTCTAACTCTTGACTCTTTATCACTACCATCAAAAACAGTGGATGGTTTTACACTGAATGCTAACATCAATACTATTGACTTAACGTCTTTTGAAAATTGTTGGGCATATGTTTTGCCCAAGTAAGAGAATATTTCTATTCGTAATATTTTCAAAATTGTTCCTATAAAAGTCTTAATTTTATACATCTAAATTTAGGCTGACAAAAGCAAGAATTGTTTCAGTTTCCAAAATTTTGCCAGAAAGCTGTCTATTCAGAAATTACAATGATCTTCGAAGACATTGGAAAAATATGGTATGGTTCTATTTTTTAACTACATAAATTTCTGTTTTAATGCATCTATTAATCAATATTTTTCAGTATTCATATCGTTTACCTAAAAATGAACAAGGATTACTATTTTATGAAGTTGTTTTTCCATCTCAACCTACTAAGTATTTTATATATCCAGAAACATGCATTTTATCTAGAATGCCTCAGATATTGATGTCAGACAATAAAAATGAAATAGCTTCACAGTTTTTAAAAGACTTATCTACTAATGTACATTCTGTATGTGGAGAAGTTATGCAAGTTTATCAATTATATCCTGAATTAGATATAGAATACTCTTGTGTATTGAAAAAGAGAAGTCAATTGAACGTATGTTTCATTAATTTTTTAACAAAAATATTTGCAAAATTGTATAAGTTTCACCATTTATTTAATTCTAAAAACAACCTGAATATTAAACTGATATTATACATCTCTGTATAATTATATGTATGTGAATTATTTATCTTTATCAAAAATAAAATTTTCAAGATATTTATTGCAGGAAAATCAATACAGTCAGTTCCAACGAAGTTCTTTTGTTAAAACTCCAACAGAATTACCAATGAATCTTCAATCTATAAATGAAAAACTCAATTTATCTTCTTTATTTGCTTTTAAAGATATGAACAGAATGAAATCAGATTTGCAACATCACTCTCAAAAAGTACTTTCAATAATGCAGAATAACAAAAGAAAAAGGAAAGCAGCGAAACAAGATGCAAATGAGCATCTAACACAATCAATGTTTAATTTCAAAAAACGAAAGTACGGAATAAACCAAAAATTTATGCCAAGTATATCAAAAGAAGAGCACGAAAAGACTGTTGTAAGCAATATAGATGATATAATTTCATTTTATGATATACCTTCTATGTACTCAAAAAATAAAGAATTAGAACAATCGAACCAAGATCCATCTTTCAAACAAATCATAGACAACTGTAAATCTGCTGATCCAATACCACAATCGTTTAGACCTAAGCCAGTAATTAAAAATATACAAAACCTTTGTTATTCTGTGAATGATACTGATCTACCTATAAATTTTGACGAATTGGAAATTAATAAGAACAAAACAGACATAACAAAAAACAATGTACTTGGTGAAGACTGTTACAATATAGCATGTTCCACTCCAAAGTCATTAAATTTAGAGGAAGAAAATGATTTACCAGAAAATTTAGTTTCTGATCAACATAAAAAAGAAATACACAAATCGCCGTCTTTTAAAAACAAAAGGGATAGCAAATCACAGACTACTAAACATTCAAGAAATTTGAATGATAAAATACTTTCTGAATTACTATCGAAAGAAACTAATAAAAAAACTATAGATTCTATGGAAACACAATCTTATGATCAAAAAATACGACTGTTTTTATCTTCTTTTGATTTAGCCAATATACAAAAACATGATGAAATAAATTTAAAAAAACAATTTAATGAAGACTATAAAAGGTCACCTCCATTATTAAATGAAAATAACAAATCATCAAATGAGAATTTAATGGAAAATACAGCAAAAGTGCTAGTTGAGAAGTCAGAGTTTTCAGAAAACCATAGATGTAATTCAAAATTTGACACAAGTTATGATAAGTTGTCTGGTAAGTTACCTTTTTTCACTTATTTAAAAAATAAGCGAGATTATTAATAGATATCCTACATATTCAGGAGTAATATTAAGAAAATATAAGAAAGACTACAAAGAATACATTGAACCAGATAAAAATAATTTATTTGAAAATGATTACAATATAAAAAAAGAATATGAATTTCATCGTCAACAAGTCTTTAAAGTCAATTCAACTAATTCAAAAAGAGTGTTTGAATCACTGTCTGAAAATCACAAACAAAAGTTGTTTGAAATTCCACAAGTTTCTACTTCAAATTATGATAAATTAGAAGAACTACATATACAACATTCAGAATTTCAGAACAATGATCAGATATTCAGAAAAAGCAATACACTTGGTACAGTAAAGACATTAATTAAATTTAAATGAACTTTCTCTTATAGAGCATTTAAATTTTAATTTTTAGATAATCTTCAAAATTCATGCAAAACATCATCTTTAGAATTAATTTTAGAAACAATGAATGACTCAGAAACCGTAAATAAATTTGGTAACAGTCCGCATTATTTAATTGATGAATTCCAACCATTAAGTAAAGTACAACATACTTCACAACACAACAAAGATATTAACGAATTTATCGATCGATCAGATTTTTTGAGCATTTTGTCAGAATCTTCAAATGAATCAGACATTGGTGATTATGAAAGTTGTAAATTAGTATTTAAAGAAGCTTTGACTCTTAAAAAGTAACATAATAAAAGAATAATGTACAAAATTTAAAACTTGACCAAATATTTGATATAACTTTTTATTTTCTTAAATATATTTATTAATTACATACAAGAATATTCATAATATATTATTTTTAAATAAATAAATTTTGTGTACATTAACCTGAGCAATAAAATTAAAAATAAAATTTGTATATTTTTTACAATACTATATACTATTTTTTTATTCCTTTGCATTCATTAATCACAGATAATAAAATCAATCGCTCAGAGTTTTTCTGGATACCGATTTCAATTAAATCATGGTCAGTTAGACTTAAAAATAAATCCAGATCCACCTGCAATGTAAAACATTTATTAATCATTATATTTGTTAGTTTGATGTATGACAAAAGCCATATAAGGTATTTAGTATAGTTACTTCTTGCTCAATAAATATAGGAATATGTCTTTGAAGTCCAAAACGTTGTAATAAAATTATCAATTTAGTTATATTTGGATCTGTTATTATTCCTCGAGGAGGAGTTTTGTACTTTGGGGGTGTAGGTGTAGTTTCATCAAATACATTATCTTGATTAATATCTTGTGGTAAATTAGGTGTTTTAATTGGACTGAACTGAGGAGTAAAACTTAGAGTGGTGTCTGAATCATTACTTAAACTCCTCAGTATTAAATTAGGGGGTCGTATATTTTGACACCTAGAACAAAATTTTTCTAAATAATATATTTAATATACAAGTTTAGTTACAATATTCAATTACGTCATTTGATCAACTTGGAGTTTAAAAAAATGTAGAAATAAATTATTTAACTACCTTTTTAATACTAAAGGTGATGATTGTTCTGTGCTGTTTGAAGAAAAATAATTCTGATTATCTGTTGTTGAGATTGTTTTATTGACATCCAGTTCAAACTTTGATATATTTGTGAAATTATCTTCTGCAATGTAAATATTCGGTGACATAGGGAACACATTTTCCTTAAAATAGGATAATGTAGGTGATACAGTCATTGATTCACAATTATAATTTAACGAATGTGATTTGCTGAAATTATCTTTGTTATTATTTAATATGTTGTCACTTTCAATATTTTTAGCATTTACATAAATTTTTGGGATAGAAGTATTTTCATCAAAATTATCAATATCAAAATTGAAAATGTTTGTATCATTTTTATAAGGAGCAATGTTTTTGTCATCTTTTCCTTTCAAAACATCTTCAATACTATAAAGATCACTCCAATAGTCATCTGAATTAAGGTGTGGTTTTGCTAATAATTTAATATCTATAATGTTTGATTGTTTCATCATGATGTGAGTAAAAGCATCTGTTCAGTAAATAATGTTGCATCATTAATATGAATTTCAAAGTTGCAAATAATATATTTTATGTAATATGAATATACAATATTTTTCAATTGAATAAAAATAGTGTTTATAATACTAGTACTTACTAGCTTTGTTAACATCTAGTCCAAGATGAACTAATTTGAAAAACAACTCTCTATCATTCTTTAAAGCTGCAATACATAATGGGTTGATGTCATCATGAGAAGCATACTCTAAAGCTGATGGACAGTTGTTATACAATAAATCAAACATTTCATTGCTAATTGCACAGGCAAGACTCAATACTGACATTCCTGTAAATTAAAAATATAGATTATTGCTGATCAATTTTTCCAAAAATTCCAGAAAGAATTTTGAAATAAAATAAATTTTATTTACCTAAAAACGAAAAGTCATTCACATTAACTCCACAGCTTAATAAAAATTTAACCATTTCAACGTTTTCATTTCTAACTGCTTGCATGAGAGGTGTCCAACCAAAAGAATTTTTACGTTCTAAACAAGCATTGTCATATTTTTCTAAAATGCATTTCAGAATTTCAATACAGCCGTTTGCTACACTTAAATGTACGATGTTTTCCTTGTACCTGTTAATAACATTCAAGGAAATGCCTAAAGGATTCACGTTCAATGAATTTTCTTTTACAAATTAGTTAAATAAGAAAAAAGAATTATTGAAATTTTGCTCACTGGATGTTTTCAAAACTTCAACTACGTGCGACTGAATTTGATTTTTTAACAAATTGCCTGATTCAAAACTTGACATTTTGATAAAAAATCTTTAATTTCAAAAGTAGTAAGAATTAAACTATTTGTTGTAACATATGCTTACATACAATTAATTGGATATAATGTATGTTTTTGAAATGAAACTAAACGAAAAATAATATCGTCGTATTTGTCGTACTACATATCAATACATACAGTAAGCAATATATATATGTTGCTATTATATATATAATAAGCTGTGAAGTAGCTCCTCTCCCTAGTTTTCGAAGGGAATCGTGACAAACATTTAGAAAACAGTATTAATTGCGCTGATGGTTCTTAATATCTGTCGTAATTTTCAATTTTTAATTTGTCAACGGAAAATACGTGAAATCGTGATTTTCCTTCAACCTACGTGTTAATTATTTTCTCAAAAAATTATCATTGAACTTTTAACCCTTTCAGGGGCAATTTTTTCTGCTACACTTATCCCGAACCCGAAAGTGTATATAAAGGTTTTCGGGGTTGCTAATTACGAATCTGAAGTCCGATTTTCAAAATTGAAAATGGCGGATCCAATATGTCCGACATAATTTTCAAACTGAAGCTTATATGAATGAAAATTTGTATACATGGATTTTCAGGGTCGCTAATTGCGAAAATGGAGTCCAATTTTCAAAATTCAAAATGGCAGATCCAATAAAAAACCTAAAATAGCCGCCACATTAAGTCCGACATTTTTGAATTGTGGCGCATCGGAGTCCTCAGGTATACCCACAGCCATTAAAACGGAACGAAACGAAACGAAACGAGTCCGACATTTTGATTTTTCAAATTCTGATACTAGATTTTTGGCTGTTGACGGCGAGTGCAGCCACACTCGTCCGGGACAGAGGAAATGGCAGGGGATGCGCGGGAGAGCACACCAGATTCAAATTCTACTTCGACACTAACAGATCTTTATTCAATTGGCGTTGTACAGCGACGTGTAGAAACTCGCCCGCGTCGGGGCCCGTGAGCGTCACAAACAGGGCAAGCCTGTTTGTAGAGAGCGGCTGACGCTACAGGATGAGCGGACGATGATGTTCCTCGGCGGCGATGACGTGTGCTGTCGTGTCCTGTCGCGGTTGTAGATGATGAAACGGCGTTCGGGTCGACGACGGGCAGCGGTTCGGATGATACTCTCTCTTGTATAGCGATGGGCGACTTATATAGGCCGCCAGGCCGGGATGCAATCATATGAGCCGCTTAGGGATGACCAGACTAACAGGATTATGAGGCCATAATCCCCCTAAGCCTCGCCTCCTAATCCGGCTAATTCAAACCGGAGCCGTTTCTCCCGCCACGGACTCAGGCCCGCAGGTGACGGCACCAACCGGGGCTCGACCGCCACAACCACTCCCCTCTCAGAGACGTTCGTACCGGTCGAACGGAGCGATGTGGTTCTCCGCAGGATGCTGGGCATATGCCTACGGCACGCCGGCAACACCCGGGGCGGCGTCGCCCGGGCCTACTGGTCCTCGGCCAGAGGCGCCTCCGCGGCGCCTGCCGCGATCGGCTGTACTGCCGATGACGCTGCGCCGTCCTCCGCCGCGACCGCTTCTCCGAGTGGCGGCTCACATGCCGCCTCCGACGAGGAGGGCTGCGAAGATGTTGCAGGCCTCCTACTCCCCGGCTCCTCCACATGCGGGTCCGGCGCCCCAACCGAGTCGAGATAGGCGGGCTTTAGCGCGTCTGTCGTGACCGTCCTTTCGGCCCCACCGACTCTGATTACGTAGACCTTCTCACTGATGCGCCTAATCACCTCGTGCGGACCGGAGTACGGCCGTTCCAGTGGCTTTCGGATCGCCTCCCCGCGCAGGAAGACGTGTGAGCAGGTCTTCAGGTCCACCAGATAGAAAGGCCTGCGAGCCGAGTGATCCGATGACGACACAGGTCGTATGGCCCCCATGAGCGCCTTGAGCTTCGCCACGAAAGTCGCCGGATCCGCCGAGCAGCTCGTCGCCACAAAGAACTCCCCCGGTATGCGCAGAGTTGTTCCATACAACATCTCTGCCGGGGATGCCTGCAAGTCCTCCTTGAAACAGCCCCGAAGCCCAAGGGGCACCAGGGCAAGCTCTCCGGCCAGGGCACCTGAGGATGGCATATCAGGGCCGCCTTCAAGGTTTGATGGAACCGTTCCACCATGCCATTTGCCTGGGGATGGTACGGCGTGGTGCGCACCCGTTCCGCTCCAATAAGCTGTGCCAAGGCGGTGAACAGGGCCGACTCAAACTGCGTGCCCCGGTCGGAAGTTATCGTGAGTGGGCAGCCTCGGTCCGCGATCCAATGCTCCACCAGCGTTCGCACCACGGTCTGCGCCCGAATATCCGCCAAGGGCACCGCGACCGGCCACCTCGTGAAGCGGTCAAGCACGGTCAGGCAATACCGCAAGTTCCCGACCTGCGGCATCACAATGATGTCCACGTGGATGTGCTCGAAGCGATTGTCCGGCTCCCGGAAGAGCGACAGTTTGGCCCGATTATGTCGCTGGACCTTGGCTCTCTGACACGCCTCGCAGCTGCGCGCCCAGCGCCCCACGTCCTTCCTAATCCCCGGCCAGATGTAGCGTTCCGTCACAGCTCGTATCGTGGCGCGGATGCTGGGGTGAACCGGATCGTGTGCGGCCTCGTAGGCGCGCCGACGTAACACTTGCGGCAGATAGAGCCTCACCACCCGGTCGGCTATGCTGCACGCCACCAGGTGCCCATCCAGCTCGAGCCGCCTCAGTGTCATGCGAACTAATAATAAAATAATATAGTTATCTTCTGTAGCTATAAGAACATATGTCATACACGTGTATTCGTTGCACACGCGGGCCGACTGAAGTAGAAGACATAAGATAGGCCGAAACAAACTGTACGCGGTAAATACATGATAGACCAGAAATGAAATAGAACATAGACAGCTGCAAACCTAAATAAACAATTAAGCTATATGAATCTCTTGGTTCCCAGGATATACTTGTTCCTGAAGAAAGTGGTAGGGACTTATCTTAAGTTTGTGAGCCCCCGAGAGGGACAAGCGCAGTCAGTCCTGTACACGATCTCGCCTTGTAAAGACATCTCTCTGGAGCTCTGTCACTTTATAATAAAAAGTATTATTTATAACTGCCGACTTCGACGCCTAGATTCCTGCAAGTACCCACACGCGCCTTATAACTCGACCATCGCTACCGCAGCGTGTAAAACTTGCCGTGACAATCATCAAAATTGGATGACATCAGGTCGAGCACGCCGGCCTCGAACAGTTTGGGCAGTGTCTGCCCTCTGTGCCTCGCTGATTACCGCCGGACCCAAGGGCGAAGGCATTCCAACCGTGGCACACTGCGACCCCGCTGAAGAGTCCTGGGGCGCCGACAGCCTCTCCAGGCCCGCCGATTCGTCGGTACGCGACAGGGCGTCGGCCACCAGGTTATCTTCGCCCCTGATATGCTTGAATTCCATATTCTGCTGCAGCACGTAGTCCAGATGCCTCTGCTGCCTTGGAGACGCCCGGTCGGACGGCTGCCGAGCCGCGTAAACCAGCGGCCGATGGTCGGTCAGTACCGTGAATGCTCGTCCCTCCAGAATCCGGCGAAAGTACCGCACAGCCTCGTAGACCGCCGATGCTTCAAATGCTCCTCGTGGGAGGATGACCCAACGAGCAGATCGTCCAGGTAATTCCGCACAAATGGCAAGTCGCGCAGGAGACTGTCCATATAGCGCTGGAAGGTTTGCGAGGCGTTGCGCAGCCCAAGTGGCATCCGCGTAAACTCAAAGAGCCCAAAGGAGGCGGCGACCGCCGTCTTGGGCACATCCTCCTCCGCCATCGGCACCAACCAGGGCTCAACCGCCACAGATTCATTATCAGCGTCTTCAAAAGCCCTTTTATACAAATTTTCATATAATTATCTTGAAAACTCTGTCCAAGACCGAATTTATTGGAAAAAACTGAAAATTTCCCGTCTTTGATTGTTTATAAATAATTGAATAAATAAATTTTCAAATTTTTAATGAAAACATTACGAAACCTAAGTACTAATGATGGTATAGAAATTTATTCGATAACGATGGAGCTCAAAACGGGCGCGGTATGGATAAAAAACTGAAAAAATTTAGATGTATCATATATGATACGCTGCCCCTGAAAGGGTTAAGATCGATGATTCGAAATAAAAATCTTAATTTCCCGCATTCACATTTATACTAAGTATTATCCATTTTTAATAACAACTGTTAGTAATTTTGATCCCTTGAATGGCGAGAAAACTAGCTGGCATTGATATCTGAGGCTGCGATTCTGAATTTCGCATGGAAACGTTCACTGCATGGTTGTGGCCAGTGGTGGGTAGGTAAGTAACCTAAGGTAACTTATATAGTTTCTTACTGGGTAATCTACCAGTAACCTACCTAAACAGTTTCCGACATAGTTTCTGATACGGTTAATGACACGACCTAACATAACTCTCTCCACTGTTTTGTTGAGCTAAATACGAATAAATAGTCGCAACCGGCCTCGATGTAATTTTGTTAATGTGTCTAAGTTATTATTTTTAAACTTAAATATTTGATCGCGTATTTAACATGAGTTCTTCAGGTGGTAGACATTTTTCATGTTAGGAAGAAAGTAGAATTGAACCTGTGAAAGTTGAAATAAAGTGTAAAGATAATCCTGCAATAACAGAACGTGTGCTTAGAGCATTGTGTACAAAATGCAACAAACATTTAACAAATTCCTCTGAGACAAGGTTGCCAACTCATCGATACGTAAATAAATTTTGTTTATAACTAGTAATTTTATATTTGATATTTACGATTGACTTGGTTATATTATTTTAGAATAAAATATGCAAACTGGACGATGCAGATCTAGAGTGTGTAGACTTGGAAATTTTGATAATACTGATGTTACTAATTATAAGGATACTGAATATATAGTGGGTCTCAGACCTTTTTACCAGATGTTGAAAAGGATAAAATCCATAACTTGAGGGTAGAAAGTTGCATTATTAGAGCCCCCTTACTCCAGTCTGCAAAATGTAATGGACAGTGAAAATAAAAAGTACCATTCGAAATATCTCTAATTGAACCCTCCAAAAATGCTCATTATGGTGATACTACTTTCTTTCCTCCAAAAAACGACCTCGTCGATACTTACTGCACTGAAAA